AGTATAGACCTGACTCCATACCTGACTCCAGAGTGTAGACCTGACTCCAGAGTATAGACCTGACTCCATACCTGACTCCAGAGTGTAGACCTGACTCCAGGGTGTACACCTGACTCCAGACCTGACTCTAGAATGTAGACCTAACTCCAGACCTGACTCTAGACTAATCTAGGTTTTTGGGTTCAGGTACTAACCCGTGTGCGGACTCCAACGGCGGCTGCAGCCACCTGTGCCTGTTCACGCCTCACGGCGTGCAGTGCGACTGCCCCATCGGTCTGGAACTGATCGCTGACATGCGGACCTGCATCATCCCCGAGGCCTTCCTGCTCTTTTCTCGCCACACGGACATTCGCAGGATCTCCCTGGAGACCAACAACAACAACGTGGCCATCCCGCTGACAGGAGTCAAGGAGGCCTCTGCGCTGGACTTCGATGTCACCGACAACCGGATCTACTGGACTGACATCACACTGAAGGTGGGTTTCTGAGCTCAGCCGTGGGCTCACTAAGATCTGAACCAGGACTCTCACCTGTACATGTGCTTCTGCAGACCATCAGCCGGGCCTTCATGAACGGCAGTGCTCTGGAGCATGTGGTCCAGTTCGGACTTGACTATCCAGAGGGGATGGCGGTGGACTGGCTGGGGAAGAACCTGTACTGGGCTGACACTGGGACCAACCGCATTGAAGTGGCCAAACTGGATGGACAGCACCGGCAGGTTCTGGTCTGGAAAGATCTGGACAGCCCACGAGCTCTGGCTCTTGATCCTGCTGAGGGGTAAGAACTGCAGTTTGGATTTTAGTTTTCTCTGGACTACAGGTCCGGTCTAACCCACTGGTTCTGGTCTGACACTGTTCTCCATAGGTTCATGTACTGGACTGAGTGGGGTGGGAAACCAAAGATAGACCGGGCCGCCATGGACGGGACGGGACGGGTCACGTTGGTAGCTGATGTGGGCCGGGCCAACGGACTCACCATCGACTACTCTGAGCGACGTCTCTACTGGACCGACCTGGACACAACCCTGATCGAGTCGTCCAACATGCTCGGTACGAATGTCCTCTGCAGGAACTGAACCTTCTGGGTGGACCAGCCCAGGTTTAGTCTAGACTGGTATCAGATTTAGTCCAGACTGGTATCAAGTTGGTCTTTGTTAGAACTGGTTTTGGTCTTGGTTTGAACTGGTTTTGGTCTTGGTTTGAACTGGTTTTGGACTTGGTTTGGAATGGTTTTGGACTTGGATTGGACTGGTCTTGGACTTGGATTGGACTGGTCTTGGACTTTTATTGGACTGGTCTTGGACTTTTATTGGACTGGTCTTGGACTTTGGACTGGTTTTGGACTTTGATTGGACTTGGTTTGGACTTGGTTTTGGACTTTGTTTGGATTGATTTTGACCTTGGTTTGGACTGGTTTTGGCCTTGGTTTGAACTGGTTTTGGACTTGGTTTGAACTGGTTTTGGACATGGTTTGAACTGGTTTTGATCTGGTTTTGGAATTGGTTTGGACTGGTTTTGGAATTGGTTTTGGAATTGGTTTAAATTGGTTTTGGTCTTGGTTTTGGACTTGGTTTGGACTGGTTTTGGACTTGGTTTGAACTGGTTTTGGACTAGTTTTGGACTTGGTTTGGACTTGGTTTGGACTGGTTTTTGACTTGGTTTGGACTGGTTTTGGACTTTGATTGGACTGGTCTTGGACTTTGAACTGGTTTTGGAATTGGTTTGCACTGGTTTTGATCTGGTTTTGGAATTGGTTTGGACTGGTCTTGGACTTTGATTGGACTGTTTTTGGACTTGGTTTAAATTGGTTTTGTTCTTGGTTAGAACTGGTTTTGGTCTTGGTTTGAACTGGTTTTGGATTGGTTTGAACTGGTTTTGGACATGGTTTGATCTGGTTTTGGAATTGGTTTGGACTGGTTTTGGAATTGGTTTTGGTCTTGGTTTTGGACTTGATTTGGACTGGTTTTGGACTTGGTTTGGACTGGTCTTGGACTTTGATTGAACTGGTTTTGGAATTGGTTTGCACTGGTTTTGATCTGGTTTTGGAATTGGTTTGGACTGGTCTTGGACTTTAATTGGACTGTTTTTGGACTTGGTTTAAATTGGTTTTGGACTTGGTTTAAATTGGTTTTGGTCTTGGTTAGAACTGGTTTTGGTCTTGGTTTGAACTGGTTTTGGACTTGGTTTGGACTGGTTTTGGACTTGGTTTGAACTGGTTTTGGACTTGGTTTGGACTAGTTTTGGAATTGGTTTGGACTGGTCTTGGACTTTGATTGGACTGGTTTTGGTCTTGGTTTGAACTGGTTTTGGACTTGGTTTGGACTGGTTTTGGACTTGGTTTGAACTGGTTTTGGACTTGGTTTGGACTGGTTTTGGAATTGGTTTGGACTGGTCTTGGACTTTGATTGGACTGGTTTTGGACTTGGATTAGGTCTAATGTTCTTGTGTTCTTGTCCTTCAGGTCAGGACCGGGAGGTGATAGCTGATGACCTCCCTCATCCGTTTGGTCTGACCCAGTTCCAGGACTACATCTACTGGACGGACTGGAGCCAGCGCAGCATCGAGCGAGCCAACAAGACCAGTGGTCAGAACCGCACCCTGATCCAGGGCCACCTGGACTACGTCATGGACATCCTGGTGTTCCACTCGTCCAGACAGGGGGGCTGGAACACCTGTGCCTCCACTAATGGACACTGCTCCCACCTGTGCCTCGCCGTCCCCATCAGAGGCTTTGTCTGCGGATGCCCCGCCCACTTCTCTCTAAACTCCGACAACAAGACGTGCAACGGTGAGAGGCGGGCCCGGCTCAGGGTCCTGCAAGATCCAAGCGGGCTTTTCTGTGGATGTTTAACTTGTGGTTTCTCTGTCAGCTCCCACATCGTTCCTGCTCTTCAGCCAGAAGAACTCCATCAACCGGATGGTGATCGACGAGCAGCAGAGCCCCGACATCATCCTGCCCATCCACAACCTGAAGAACGTCCGCGCCATTGACTACGACCCGCTCGACAAGCAGCTCTACTGGATCGACTCCAAGCAGAACGTCATCCGCCGTACGCAGGAGGACGGGAACCAGGTACCACATCCTGCAGGCTAACCCTGGTCCTGGGCTTTCCTTTCAACTGGACTCTACAGTTCTGGGTCTGATCCAGCCTTGTGTTGTCTCGTCCTGTCAGAGTACGACGGTGGTGTCGAGTTTCGTGGTGGCGCCGGGTCCGGGCCTGCAGCTGTTTGACCTGAGCATCGACATCTACAGCCGCTTCATCTACTGGACCAGCGAGGTGACCAACGTCATCAACGTGACCCGAACGGACGGCAGCAGGGTGGGCGTGGTGCTGCGGGGCGAGCACGACAAGCCCAGAGCCATCGTGGTCAACCCGGAGCGTGGGTCAGTACCACTTTCATCTTCATGAACAGGTTCTGCCTCTGGGTTCTGTTTGGCTTGGCTGCAGTTGTCAGTGTGACCACCAGGAGACAGGAAGTGTCCGGGTCTTTACCKGAGTCTGGTGTCTTACTGGCTGGGTCAGGTCAGGAGCTGCAGCCAAGAAGACCACAGAGACCACATATAGACCACGTAGACCATAGACCACGTAGACCACAGCCCTCATAGACCACATAGACTTCAGCCCATGTAGACGTTAGTCCATACGGACCACAGTCCACGTAGACCTCAGTCCATACAGACCTCAGTCCATACAGACCACAGTCCTCATAGACCACATAGACCTCAGTCCATACAGACCTCAGTCCATACAGACCACAGTCCTCATAGACCACATAGACCTCAGTCCATACAGACCACAGTCCTCATAGACCACATAGACCTCAGTCCATACAGACCACAGTCCACGTAGACCACAGAGACCACAGACCACAGTCCTCATAGACCACATAGACCTCAGCCTATGTAGACCTCAGTCCACGTAGACCTCAGTCCATACAGACCACAGTCCATACAGACCACAGTCCACGTAGACCTCAGTCCATACAGACCACAGTCCTCATAGACCACATAGACCTCAGCCTATGTAGACCTCAGTCCACGTAGACCTCAGTCCATACAGACCACAGTCTATACAGACCTCAGTCCATACAGACCACAGTCCACGTAGACCACAGTCCACGTAGACCACAGAGACCACAGACCACAGTCCTCATAGACCTCAGCCTATGTAGACCTCAGTCCACGTAGACCTCAGTCCATACAGACAACAGTCCATACAGACCTCAGTCCACATAGACCTCAGTCTATACAGACCTCAGTCCATACAGACCTCAGTCCATACAGACCTCAGTCCATACAGACCACAGTCCACGTAGACCACAGAGACCACAGACCACAGTCCTCATAGACCACACAGACCTCAGCCTATGTAGACCTCAGTCCACGCAGACCTCAGTCCATACAGACCTCAGTCCATACAGACCCTGAATTGAGACACAGCCTTTGTTTTACTTCCTGGGTTCCTCGGGGTCAGAACTTCCTGTTGTCCTCTGTAGGTACATGTACTTCACCAACCTGCAGGAACGCTCACCAAAGATCGAGCGAGCGGCGCTGGATGGCACTGAGCGGGAGGTTCTGTTCTTCAGTGGGCTGGGAAAACCGGTGGCTCTCGCCATCGACGACGAGGTCGGGAAGCTGTTCTGGGTCGATTCGGATCTGCGACGCATCGAGAGCAGCGACCTGTCTGGTGAGTCTGATGTCACTTCCTGTTACTCAGGCGGTTACATGACATCCTAGTTAAACATCTGTTTATGTTTAAATGGTGAGAACTGGACTAAATGAACCTGAGATCTGGTTTCAGATTGAATCTGATGAGTTTAAATGTTCACTCCTGTCCCTCCCCTGGCTCCTCCCCCCTCAGCTCCTCACCCGTTTTGTTGCCTTTGTTCCTGAAGTTCTCTCCCATGTTATTTTATTTCTCCTTTCCCTGCTGCTTTTATTTTGTAAAACGCTGCAGGCGCCAATCGGGTGGTGATCGCGGACTCAAACATCCTGCAGCCTGTGGGACTGACGGTGTTCGGGAACCACCTGTACTGGATCGACAAGCAGCAGCAGATGATTGAACGCATCGACAAGACGACGAGGGAGGGCCGCACCAAGGTGCAGGCACGAGTGGCCTACCTGAGCGACATCCACGCTGTGCAGGAGCTGGACATGAAGGACTACAGTGAGTCCAGCTTCCTGTTGTTCCTGCTTGTGTCGGAGCAGAGCTCATCATTAACACACCTCCTTCCTGCAGGTAAACACCCCTGTACCAACGATAACGGTGGCTGCTCCCACATCTGCGTGGTTAAAGGAGACGGGACGACGCGCTGCTCCTGTCCCATCCACCTGGTGCTGCTGCCAGATGAGCTCACCTGTGGAGGTAAGCCTCACCTGTGGGTGCTGAGGTCAGGTCTGTGACGTGGTCAGCAGGATGACTGACCCCTCGTTTGGTTTCAGAACCACCCACCTGTTCGCCCAAGCAGTTCACCTGCAGGTCCGGGGAGGTGGACTGCATCCCCAACACCTGGAGGTGTGACGGCTACGTGGAGTGTGACGACAGCAGCGACGAGGAGGACTGCCCCGTCTGCTCCGAGTCCGAGTTCCAGTGTGACAGCCGGCAGTGCATCGACATRAGCCTGCGCTGCAACGGAGAGGTCAACTGTCAGGACAAGTCCGACGAGAATGAGTGTGAAGGTGAGAGTGGGCGGGGCCACGTCATGTGACCAGATGAGGCTAAAGTCCACATGACTGACGCTTAAGACCACATGACTGAAGCTTAAGACCACATGACTGAAGCTAAAGACCACATGACTGAAGCTAAAGACCACATGACTAAAACTAAAGACCACATGACTGAAGCTTAAGACCACATGACTGAAGCTAAAGACCACATGACTGAAGCTAAAGACCACATGACTGAAACTAAAGACCACATGACTGAAGCTAAAGACCACATGACTGAAGCTAAGACCACATGACTGAAGCTAAAGACCTCATGACTAAAACTAAAGACCTCATGACTAAAACTAAAGACCACATGACTAAAACTAAAGACCACATAACTGAAGCTAAAGACCTCATGACTGAAGCTAAAGACCACATGACTAAAACTAAAGACCACATGACTAAAACTAAAGACCACATGACTGAAGCTAAAGACCACATGACTGAAGCTAAAGACCACATGACTGAAGCTAAAGACCTCATGACTGAAGCTAAAGACCTCATGACTAAAACTAAAGACCTCATGACTAAAACTAAAGACCACATGACTAAAGCTAAAGACCTCATGACTGAAGCTAAAGACCACATGACTGAAGCTAAAGACCTCATGACTAAAACTAAAGACCTCATGACTAAAACTAAAGACCACATGACTAAAACTAAAGACCACATGACTGAAGCTAAAGACCACATGATTAAAACTAAAGACCACATGACTGAAGCTAAAGACCACATGATTAAAACTAAAGACCACATGACTAAAACTAAAGACCACATGACTGAAGCTAAAGACCACATGACTAAAACTAAAGACCACATGACTGAAGCTAAAGACCACATGACTAAAACTAAAGACCACATGACTAAAGCTAAAGGCCACATGATT